ATTGAATATCATTTAATATGTCAGTAGCATTTTTGTTTCATCAATGCTTATCAAGTGCATAAGAATGAAAGGAAAAAAAAAAAAAGAAGAAAAAAAAAAGGAGAGAGAGAGAAGCAGGCATTTCCTAGAGCAGAAGGCAGTATTTTCAATCAAATTTATTTGGCACATATGTGCCTCCTGCAATCTAATGGCCTGATCCCCAGAAGAAGTGAGAGATGGATAGGAAAATTATTTTAATGGTAAAAATTTTCCACAGCTGTGGTATGTAGAGGGTTTGTATACACCTCCGCACGCAAACACTATCTAAATGGTTTGAACATGCTCTTGGTTGTCTGTGTTCTGACACTCTTCCTTAATTTAAAGCTGTGGCACAGAGCTTGAGTGTGTGATCTGCCATCTGTGGCCCTCAGCTCTGTCACAGTCTTCTGTCGTAACTGATGACAGAGATGTTATCAGTGTTCATAACTGCTTTCATGCCCGTTCCATCTATTGTGTGATCTGCTACTATGATGGACAGGATGGTCATTTGGTAATTTTGACTTCTGTACCTAGAAGACAAAATAAATCCAACTCACTCCAAGGCATCCGGTAACTTTTAAAAACAATTTTGGGCTAAGGCTGAACTTTTTAGATGTGAAAGGCTCCAGCTGACTGACCCAGGCCATGCAGAATGTTTTCAGAAGTGCCTGAATTGCCTAGAGGCCTAGCTTTTTTTGACTTTGAGAGACTTATATTCCTGAATTATTCAAATATTTGGAAAAAATCATGCACACTGGGTAAACTCTGTGGGAAGCATTTATGAATTGCCTCTAACTACTATTTCTTACCAGAGGTCCTGAGCTGAGATGTGCAGAGCTGCCAGCTCTGCACTGAGGGCCTGGGTCAGCATTGGTGGTAATGTTTTACCAGGGTTCACTGTGCAGCTTGTTCTTATTTTGAAATGCACTACGAAGTATATTGATCCATCCACCCCTAATTTATTTTAGCTGATTGCAACTGCTACTGTGGTGATAAGTTGTTGTAAATAGTCGCAATATTTTTTCATGCTATTTAGGAAAATCTCATTAGTATGGCAGAAGCTGAAGTGGTATTAGGTACCAATAGTTCAGTGAAGGTTTGGGATCTTCGGAGTAGTGATGAAATCAATTGCTAGCACCTTCTAAGGTGGACTCAGCAATTTTTTGGTCAGCTAATGCTTCACTAAATGCTATGAAGATTGGTCTTGATTGTGGCAGCAATTTAAAATAGTTTTCATTTTTGAAGTGACTATGTAAACACATTAACTCAAACTTTCATGGGAATCAAACCTGCAGAAAATTCTCAGCAATAACCTAACAAGAAAAGTCTATTCTGTTCACTCCAGGGTTCTGCATATTTACATATTGCCTCTGCATCATTAATAATTCTAGTTTGATTTATCCATTTCTGGAAAAGATTGAATATTACACTAGATGTGTTGAGGAGATCAGCAGCTGCAGTGTTTGTAATCTTTGCCCTTTCATGTATTTCATGGGAAATGGCTTCAAAGCCATGTTGGTATTACCTAACTGAAGTGGCTTCATGCATTTTTGTTAATTTTCTTTATTTTTCCAGAGATTTGGCACAACTGTTTTGCAAAAAGCTGTCTTTATATCTTTCGATAAACATGTAATATTTCCTGACTGTCTTTGAGTAGCCTGGAAGTTAGATTTCATACTGCTTTGAGGCAGCAGAGTAGGGTGGGATATTCAAGGACACACAGTATTTATCTAATCTTTTTATTCAATGTTGAAGCAGGTGGGTGTATTGGAACTCCTAAGCCAGTTGCAAGGAATGATGTGCAGCTTTCTACTGTAGGACTGTAGGTTTAGCCTGTGTTCCTTACAGTATCTCTGTCTGCAACAATGAGGGCAGTAATCATCTACCACAGCCATATCAGCTAATATCTGGTAAGAAAAAAAAATAAATCATGAAATATGTACTGGTAACTCAATTTCTTTCTGGTTTGGTGTTAAAATGATCCAAATTTGCTATTGCTTCTTTCCCCAAAACAGAGACAGGGATCAGGGTAACTGGGCAGACATCTGGAGCTGGTGACATCTGGTCAGAGAAGGGACAGGGGCGTTCAGGAACAGAGGCAGCAAGTAACATGAAGTGGATGAGGTGCAGAGATGGGTTGTCATTTGGATCTTGCCAAGAATGAAGTTCTTTGCAAACCAGGATTTAAGGTGCTCAAAGGGGTGAATGTGGAGAGGATGAAAGAGTGAATCTCATTAAATAAACTCTGTAATCTGCCCTTCCTCTCTGTGGAAGCCCTTACTCTTGTGTGTTAGAGCTTTCAGAACTGCTTACGCAATTGGGAGAAGAATAAAGGGATGGAAAATACAGAAAGAAAGTAAAACCCTTCAACTTGTTTGGGCTGTATGCCAGAGCTACCAGACTATTGGGAGTAAGGCTCCTGCTGAGCAAAAAAGGAGGGTGAGAAGAGACTATTTCCAGCCTGCCTTAGAGGAATGTCTTGCCCTGGGGCATCTCTGGATAAAAGCTGTGGGGTAGAGGCACCAGCTGTTGCTGGTTTACATGCTCCAAGCTCCTGAGCTCAATCCCATCTCTGCCAGGGCAGGTTAAGCCTCTTCAGTTTTTCACAGTAATTGTGACAAACGGGAGCCCAGGGGCTCAGAGCTTTTCCTCTGAAAACCAGGTTTTCTGTGTGGGTGGTTGATAAATGGAAGTCTTGAAACTTAAAATGTCTGCCTTCTGCTCTTCTGTATCAATTTTTCTCACCTATAAAGGTAAACCTATTTTCCCACAGTTTTCTGAAGTTATTCTGAGGCTTTTTTTTCAGAGCAATTAGCAGGTGCAAAATAGTGTACAGTGTAAGAAAACAAATACATTACTACCAGGAGTATGGAAATAAAAATATTTCTGTGGTTGCCCAAAGGAAAGAAAAATGCTGTTTACTCACTAGTGAGGCTGGGAAAGCAGACGTGTTAAATGCCTTTTCTGTTTTAGCCTTCACTAAGAGAAGTGGTTGTCGTTGAACTGTTAGCTATTGTCAGTAACAAAATGTTGGGGAGTTCAGCTATGATAGATTAGATGTAACGTTGAAAGAGTGAGTCATTAGCAGTCCCTCCAGGAAGTGGAAGGCAAGTAAAGTTTCAGAAGACTGTAAAAGGCAAATTTAGGGCTTTCTGAGAGGAAAACAGAGAAGGAGGTACTGGTTTTGTCCCAGAAACACAACAGAGGAATCGGTAATAATCAAAACCAAACAATTTGTAATCAGCTAGACAACAAGAAGGTGAATGACAGCTAACATTGTTAGATGTGAGATAATCATATCATATCAGCCTAATGTCCTCCTACAATCGGTGTTGTGAGTAAAGAAAAAGCAAAGTTGTCATATTTTCTTGAATTTAGTAAGGCTTTTGTCTGTGATGACACTTGCATAAGTAAGCAAGAGAAAACCTGGAGGGAAATTTCTCAAAGTGATCAGTAGGAAATTGTGCTCAGAGGATAGCTATTTTGGGTAGTTATCCAAATGGATAGATGGTAATGGAAATCATTTTTACTAATGACTTAGATGAAATAGAGGGCATGTTTGTAAAAGTGCAGGTAAGAAGGGATGCAGATTGTCTGGGGCATAGCCTCGCTGTTCATGTGGTCCTGCCAAGCTGAAGAAGTGGTCTGATCAGAGGCACTGGGGTAAGGACAAAATCACTTTTTGCGCTGAGGAATACAGAGTGGGGACTGGTTGCTGGGGAAGAGCCGTATTTCAGGCAGGAATCAGCAATGTCAGGCTGGGATGTGTAAATGCAGTCTGTGTATGCTGCTCAGAGAGGTAAGAGAGAGTCTGAAAGGGTCTGGAGGGAGCGCAGCAGCTGCAGGAGGCTTGGCCCTGCTCCCTGTAGAGAAGGGAAGGCAGAGGGGGCATGTGGTTCTGACCTTCAGATACAGATGAGGGATGGAAAAAAAAATTGAAGGGACAACTTGGAGTAATGGGCTTATATTACAGTGGTGGAGGTTTCATCTCTCGCTCAATGAAAGAGCTGTCTAGTAGGACAACAGAGCACAGAGCAATAGATCATCCCGGTGGGATTGTTTATGGAGGTTTTTAAGAGCAAGTCAGGCAGGTAACTATCGATTGAAAGCAATAAATGTTGAGATACTGCTGCCTTTGGAATGGGAAAGGTAAGATAACTGCATAAGGAGGCCTTCCCAAACCAATAATACGATTTTTATGAAACAACTATAGAACTGGTAGGGTAGAATTCATATATGACTCCATTTTCTCTTCACGTTTTCCCAGGATATGAGTAAAAATATAGCTTTCTAGCTACTGCTTCTACCACATCGGGATCTAGATTGAGGGCTTGCTGACCATCCAGTTGATTGTTTTTGCTCATGCTGGCACCTGTTAAAACATGGTTTGGAAATGCTGCTGTTGTTAGAGAAGAGAATAAAAGCCAGCTCATGCTCCCATGGCTCTGTGGACTCAGCAGTGTTCTGTATATTCAGACTGTCTTTGATACACTTGCAAATAGCCCCAAGCAACAGAACAGCTATATAGCTAAAATGAGTATTAACCGTAGGGACTTGACACTGTTGTACTAGTACACCAAATACTCCAAAAGAAATAAAATAATATTAATAACGAAAGTGTGGTGAGTAAACAAGGGCATCAACAGCTGCTCTGCCTTAATGCTTATGGAGATGTTGAATAAAATGGAAGGAAATATCGACATGAAATCACTGTGTGAAAGGGTAGGCAGTTTGTTTCTGTGCACTGTTTTGGGGAGGAAAATGAGCCATCCTTCAATAAACCCAAACACGTAGCACCTGGTGCCTTGCTTTTCTGTGCTGTCAGCAGTGATAACTTATAGCACACAGACTTTGTCAAGTCAAATGTTTCTCTGTAACTTGTAGTCCAAAGAACTCTGACGTGCTTTCTAGGAAACATCAATTGAGCCTATTATTTAAATTATCTTTTTTTATCTCTTTTTTTTACTTTCTAATTAGGTTACATTTTCTATTTCCTTGGTTTGGAAAAAGAAGAAACTGCAGGAAAAGAAAAGGAGAAGGCAGCTAAGGCTCCTTCTGTAAACTGTGAGTAGTTTATCACATCCTAGGATAATTCAGGTGGGAAAGTACCTCAGGAGGTCTGTACAACCTCTAGCTCAAAGCTGGGTCAACCATGAGGGCAGAGCTGACCACTCAAAGCTTTATTCCACGTAGTCTTGGAAACCTCTGAGACAGAGATGGCACAATCTCTCTGAGCAACCTGTTCCACTGCTTGCTGTCCTCATGGTGAAAACGTTCCTGCATATATGCAGTTTGAGCCTCCCCCGTTTCAGCTGATGACTACTCTCCCATCATGAAGAGCCTGGCTCTGTTCTCTTGATGACCACCCTATGGCCCTTTTCCTCCCTCATTTCCATTATTAAAGTGATTTTTTTTCAGTTTTATGGTCTCTAATGTATTTGTCTTTGGGTGCCAGGAAACTGTCAATACCTCAGTTTTTAGAGGTAGAGAACCTCTCTTGGCTAAGTGAATTTATTAAATCATTTTGATGTCCTGTTGACCTGACAGTAAGGTCTAACTCAGTTCCAGGTTCAGACACCTAAATTTGGGTTTCTTCATTGTGGCTGCCTTCATGTGAAGTGAGTGTCTAAGGTCCCACGATACATGTATTTAGAAGTGAAGCTGAAACAGCCATTGGAGCATAGAGGTCATTTGTCTCTGTGTGCTGCAGACAGCTCACCGTGCTCAGCTGTCTCCTTCTCTGAAGTCCACTACCTGAATTGGGTGGATCTCTGATGGCTATAATGGTATTGGCTCACGCCTAGCCACTTGCATTGCAGAGACACAAACTTGTGCCTGCCCCTGTAGCTAAATCCCACAAGAAGAAATTGGCTGAACTTGATATAAGAAGCCAGTAGCACAGCATCATTTGAACTCCCATCTCTTTAGTCTACCTACTGGAAGAGCTGTCCTTTGTTTGAGAAGAGCTGTGTGACCTTGTCCTGAGAACATCAGAGGACAGGGAGGAGCAGTGGGTTCAGAGCAGCACTGCTAGTTTAGAGAATGGTGCACAGGTGTGTTTTTTTTTTATTTTATATATTTTTTTTTCTTATGTACAAAGCTTTTTCTGATAGCTCTGCAACAGCATTTTCTATGGTTTCCTGTTCAGTGGCGTTGGGTCTAAACACTGTAATTTATTCTCTCAAGTCATTTATTTAAGCATCTGACAGCCTCCTTTTGGACTGACATGTGGAAATGACAGCAAGTTCAATATTGAGCAAAATGAATGCCTGTTATAGAGGTGAATTCAATGCACATGAAAGTGGAGTGGCATTTGTAATTATGTAATACTTCTTTTAAGGGAAGAGTAGTTGCTCTGATCATAAAAAGCTTTAGAAATGCTAATTCCTTTTGTGGTTACTGAGATGAGAGTGCACTATTAAATATATGAAATAAAATTACTGAAAGAGGTGTAAAATATCTTCGCTGTTCAGAGGATTTTGCTTTCTGGTAAGTAACCTTGATGTTTCTCTGATGTTTCAGATGACATTTCCCAGTGCTTGTCTAACATCACTAGTTTGGTGGTACCCCGAGGAGCCTTTGTCTTTCAGTATAAGGATTTTTCTTTACCCAAGCCAGGAAAATGATGAATGATCAAATGGAAGAGAACACAGGCTGACACTGGGATGTGATGGCTGCTGTTTGGAAAACCTCTTTGTCTCTCCAAAGTTTAGATGTTTCTTAATTACTTCCAAAAAGAGCTATAAGGAGGCATAGTGCACGTCTGCTGTGGAGATGAGAAGGGAAAACAAAGTGTCCTCTGTCACACTGTTATTGTCCTTGGAAGATAAAGTTGGTGGAATTATGCTAAAATGAGAACATGAAGAACTGTAAAATTGTAATACAAAAACACAACAAAAACAAAAAAAACAGAACCACTGTCATATCTCCACTACTTCTAAAGCACCCAGGTGTCTCTTTTCTTTCTATTTCTCATTCTTGTCCTTTATGACAAATATTTTGAAATAGAAAAGGCAAATTTGATCTTAAAATATATAGGCTGGGCATCTGCAATGTGCTCAGTGCTACAGTGATTTCATCTATGTACAATTCTGCTTGCGCACATCCAAGAAAGTTGAGTCCTACAGAGTAAGAAAAGCTAGCAGGATGATTGGTCCTTTCTGATGAATCCAAGTTGCAAAAGGAAAGTAAAAGAGCTCTTTTAGTTTATCTTGGGTAATGATTGAACTCTATATAGATACAATATTTATTGTTATAGAGATATTAAGAGGGAAACAACCTCATGAAGCTAAGAAGCATAAAAGTAGAAGATTTCTAGCCATTATGGAAATGAAATTTCTAGCCTTCCAGTAGGGACAGTGGGCCAAGACAGAGCTTATCCCTCCTGAATGGTGGAGACAGAGTGCAAAATTTGATTGCCCATGGTAGCACACTACTTTACCCAATAAGGGAGGACCAGGGAACACGCCTAGCTTTGCCACCACTGTTTAATGATCTCTTGACCAACCCCATTTGAAGTGGTACAAAATTGCTATCTGTATGTGTACAATTACTAGGTTCCTATTCACAGCCAGTGGAAGAAATGGTAACAAGCAAGGAAAGCTGTACAAGGTCTCAGGGTCCGATTGGAAATGTTCAGGAGCCAGCCAACCAGAGCCCACGCTTCCTTTCAGAGTGTGACAGAGCATTTTCCCTAATTTTCCCTGCTGGTGGGCTGATTGGCACATATCAGAGTTGAGCCCTTGTGCGTTCCTGTATGTAGGGAGTAAGCAGGGTGCGCACTGACACTCAGATACAAAGTAGAAAGCAGTCAAACACAATAACACTTAGATATCTGGATCTCAGAAGGCTTCTTCAGATCAATTGATCTCTTTCTAAAGGCGGAGGCTTTCAAGAGAAGTATTGTGAGAAGCCAGTGGTGCTCACACCTGGTTCCCAAAAGCCTGGCTTCATTCCTACCTTGTCACTATGCCCAGCCTAGGCAGAGCCAAGCCTCACTGTGAGGAAGAGGCTTCACAGAGTATCCTTGGATAAGAGACTTGCTCACCATTGATTTCCCACTCTCTGAAAATAATTGCTGGCGGTGAGTTTTTCATTCAGAGCAGAACTGCATGGAGAGCCTCAGGCACCTGACTGCTCGGTTTAGCCCAGAGAGTGAGCTGCGTGTGACATCCAGCCGACTCAATAGCTGCTATAATCAGTTCCCAGATCAGCTATTCACTCTGGCAAGTTCCTGAAACTATCTATCAGGCAGTCTCGGTTAATGGATGCTTTTGCAAAAATTGTGCTCTTATGCAGTCGTGACTAGGAAAAGCCCTACATTTATGGGATGTTCTTATTAGGAGTTCAACCAGCGCAATGTCAGGAAGAGTGTTTTGTGAAGCCATCTCATATTTTATTCCATTTTAGGAAATGATTCCTCTATTTTACGCTGATCATTCACACAGAATAATAGTAGTTTTCCTTCCCTTATATGTATGCTCTTTTAACCTGTAATGTGCCACTGGGTTTCTCTGTGGCTTGGGCAAAAATGGAGCTGAAAGGCTAGTGGCCAGCTGGTGGATAGTCACTAGGAATTGGTAATGAAGGAGTGATGGGAAAGTGTCTGGAAACCCTGAGTTTTCTCTTTCTTTTCATTTTTGTTAGTGCTAGCAGGTAGCACTAAGCTGTAGGCTATGGTGTTGAATCCTATTTGTTGCCCTGTGAGGAAGCCCAGAGGCACTCTGCTTGAACATGAGGAAATCCTAGCATGCTCCCTCATTTGTGTTGAGCTGAGAGCGTTATCTGGCCTTCCCACTGGGAAGGGGCTCAGACACACTCAGACACACACCTCAGCTTGTCCTGCTTCTCTGGATCAAGCCCAGCACTCACCCATGTGAGGCCACCTCCTGCTCTTGCCAGCCCCTATGTAGGCTGGAGCAGGGACAGGGATGTGGCACTCAGAGTGGCCTCAGGCTTGGCTTTTCAGAGCTTTCTGGCCATAAAACAGTGAAGCTTTGGAGTTCTTCCATTACTACACAGCTGCCCTTCTGGATCTATTGTTACCTCGTGCATGTGAGGCTGAGAAGGACATGCTACTGAATTTCCTTTCTAAGCAGCTTTGGTGCTGTTAGGTACTGTGATTTATTTAAGGCTGGAAGATTCATAGCCTACTTTTTGAGAATGCTGATGTGAAACTTGTTCTAGAATCCTTTACAGTATTTTGCCTTCCTTTTTTAGTATAGCAGTCTTCCAAAATCACTAGTTTGTATTTACTCATTTTATTGAGACCATTTTTTTTATACCTACTGGCAGAAGGAGAAATGAAGTCATCTTCCACTCCCTTTTCTTTAAGCAAAACTAACAGCATATATACTTTAGCCCAAACATCAGGTCGCTGAAATAGATTTTTTGATTAATGCTCGGTAAAATTGGAAAATTAGGGTATTGGTGAAAACTGATTAATGAAATATTTTGCTTTATATGTGTTTTGCACGTGTTGCTTTATATAGGTCCCATGAGAAGAATATCTATTTTGTTAGTAACTCTTTGGGGAATGAAGCAACAATTGGATGGTCTGATTTCTTTGAAAGAAGATGTGCTTTTCTTTTAAGTTTTGTTTAATGTAAATTCAGATTGGATTAGTTTTAACTAAAACATTGTATATTATGTATTATCCTCACATACAATCTGGATTATTTGCTATGAGGGCAGTGAGGTACTGGCACAGTCTGCCCAGAGGAGCTGTGGGTGCCCCATCCCTGGAGGTGCTCAAGGCCAGGCTGGATGGGGCTTTGGGCAACCTGGTCTGGTGGGAGGTGTCCCTGCCCATGGCAGGGGGGTTAGAATTAGATGGTCTTGAAAGTCTCTTCCAACCCAAACTATTCTAGGATTCTATGATTTTTTTGTATGTTTTAAAAATCTAAATATTTACAGCTCAATGTGCTTCTCAAGTCCCTTATTTGATTCTCCTCGTCTGTGTTTTACATGAAGAAAGTTTCCGCATCTGATGATTACAGATCATGATCCTTTCTAGGTAGAAGTTACTGCAGTAGGTAAATTAATTTAAAATTCATATATTCATGTCTGAAATTCTGTTTTCATTTATTTTGAAGTTGTAAGGAGGTTAGAGAGGAAGTGTGGCATTTTCAAGCAAAAATAACATAAAAGCCATGTCTACTTTTTCTATGCTAAGGCTTTTCCATCAGTGTGGTTAGGGACACTGCAATCCACATTTCTAACAGGATTTTTCAGAATTATTTTGCATTTACTGCAGAATTTGATCTCAGATGAAAAACATGAACATGCTCTCTTGTTTGATAATCAAAAATTCTGATTACTTTGTAGTTATTAAAGTGGCTTTGGGCTACTTTGAAGTCTCCATTTGTCTAACTAATTGACCTAATATGTACAGGCCAGTGATTAATTCATTGACTTTTGGATTTTACAGGCAACATCTCCCTGGATTTTAAGCTGATTCAAACAGGCAAGGAACATGTTCTTATCTGTACTCCCAAGAGGAGTGAAGTAGCAAAGCCCCTCCCTTGCCTTTTCATTACATTTAAATTCACTACTCATCCTTTAATTGAATTTTTATCAGTGATTTGAAGCTTCCAGGCAAATGAACCAAGTTTAAATATTGTGTTTATTATCTGCTAATACGAAAAGCACACAATTATCAATTCATCTGATTTTTCTTAGGCCAGAACCATTACAATTTTTGTCAACAGAGGCAGGCAATCCTTATGAAGACCAGACCTCAGAGCCTCAGGGCTCATTTGTAGTATGTTAGCCACAAGCATGCAGTCTCAGTTCTACCCTTGTGGTAAGCAGCTGTGAATTGTAGTCTTTGGAAACACCATAGAAACAGATAATCTATGGAATACTGGTGCCCTCTGAGAGGAAATGAATTCAAGCAGTTTTATATGATAAGCCAACCCATGCCCCTGGAGTAATCTTGTGCACATCAGTGATGCCTTCATCGCTTGACAAGCCAGTTTCCCAAGACTGTTAGGCAAAATGTTCAGTGTAAAAGTTTCCCCCAGACATGTTCCATGGTCTTTCTTTCTGGTCCCTGGCTGCATTTTGTTTTTCTCAACCAGGAATGTCAAATATACAGTCTGGCCTCTGGCCCTCCTGATATTCTTAAGATTCCCCAAAATCTAAGTTTTCATATAGTCTCTCTCTCTAATGCATAGTAAATCTGAACTGTATATAAGCACAAAGCACAGACATTTTAATGTATTTTATTTTTTTTTTTAATCAATTACTGAACTTTTTTTTGCAATGTAAAGGTGGAATTAATTTGGTCTAAATTTCAAGTCTTTTTTAAACAAGCTGCCTGGGCTTAGCTTCTCTACAGTCCCTGAGGAGAGAAAGTTATCTTCAAAAGCTGTTATCCCCTATGTCTCACACATATGCCTTTGGTTGGGAAGAATAAATCTTTCGAGGCACTTACTACTCTCTGTTGATGCTACAGGAAGCTTAACTTCCACACCTAGTCTTTAACATCTCCAGTGATCCCAGAAACATTTCCGTTAATCATTTCATTGGCATCATGGTTAGTAATGACAGCATAATTGCTCCAGGAAAAATACACTGATAAGAGAAAAAGGAAAAGAAAGACATGGGGAAAAAAAAAAGAGACCAGGCAATGATTATTTTTTTCCACTGATTGAGGTGATAGGACACTGAATAAATACCACCACTTAGTTATTATTTAAAAGCACCTTCTATCCTTCAGCTCTGCTCATGTCTCCTGTTCACATTGCTAGGATATATTGTGTTTTGGTCTCAAGATTAAAGAGCTCTGCATTCCTGAATTTTTTTCTGTTGTGTAACTTGAACGCCTCTTTTCTTTCCTAGCGTGATCTGGTATCTCTGTAGTGTCACCTCCAAAGTCTGGATGGGATTCCCCAGTTTCTGTCTCTGATCTCTTATTTTTGTAACTCTGCCTCCTGAAAGTCTCAGCAGCCATCTGCCACCGGTTAAAAATGACCTGTTTCTCTTTATCCTCATAGATCCTAGCTTATGCTAAATGTAATTATTCTCCCAGAAAGCAAGCAAGTCCCTTGAGTGTTCCAACAGCATTGTGA